CATGATTGGGGATTTTGAAATTTGGTAAGAAACCAAATCATAACAAAGAATTTTGGTTTGTCCTGTAAATCTAAACCACAATCAAAATTCAAAAGAACACATTTATTCCTGTCCTTTCTCACTTATCATCATTCAACAAATAATATTGAAAAAAAAGTCATGTGCCATATATCCACCGTCTGGCATCCCTTGATTCCCTAGGTAATTAAAAAAAAGGGCAAACAACATACTCCTGCCCATAGTTTGTTGTAAAGACAAATTGATACTAAAAAGGTTTAAAAATAATAAACAATCACTTTTCATCAGGTTCTGTTAGAGATTTCTGTCAACAATATTGAAAAAGACTAAAATACCCTTAAAAGTTTGATATTATAATTTTTTTATTAATATATGACAAGTGAACTCAGTTCATTACGTAAATACCCCTATCATTTACATTAAATTACTGGTATGCATTTTATTAACGCATAACAACTTGATGGCATGGTAGTAATTTAATGTAAATGATGTGGGTATTTACGTAATTGATTGATTTGACTTGCTATAGATTAATAAAAAAACTATAATATCAAACTTTCAACGGTATTTCAGTCTTTTTCAGCATTGTTGACAGAAATCCCTAACAGAACCTAACAGAAAGTGGTTGTTTGTTATTTCCAAACCTTTTGAGTACCAATTTGTCTTTATGGCAAACTATGGGTGGGTGCATGTCGTTCGCCCTTTTTTCAATCAAAATCTTAATGACATTAATACCCCTCACATATTTACAATAGACAAAAATGGCCTTAAGGTTTCTGGTTTTAATAGATATTTTTCTGATTTTAAGTTTTAGATGTTAACTACCTTTGGGTAATTGAGTGGTTCGATAAGGACTCTTAGCCTTGGGTGCATGTATTACTCTATAAGTCCTGAGTTTGAGTCCTTACTCGGTTGCTAATAGAGGTAGTCATTAAAGCTATTACCCGATCAATAGTTTCAAGGTCTTATGGGATTAGTTGAGGTGCACGTAAGCTGATTGAGACACTCAGTCATTAAAAAAAAAGTTTTAAATGTTAAAATAAACAATAAGAGGGCAATTTAGTAATATTCACGAACTCTTAACTATATATTTTAATAACTCATTAACAGTTTATTAATAACGATTTTTTGTTATTTCATAAATTTTAGAAAGATATTTTGCTGTGTTTGGTAGAGTATTTAGAATAGTATTTTTGAAAATTGAAAAAGTTGAGTTGGATTGTTATTACCAGAATATGAGTTAAATATGAAAATGTGTTTGGTAAATTTTTTGAATATTAAGTTAGAGTTGAATAATTGTCTGGTATATTTTTTTTATAAAGGATTTATCGATAGAATATTTTGGTACACTTTATTAAAATAATTTATTATTATAGCCTAAAACTTTTCAATTTATTATTTTAATAATATTAAATATTTGTTTGGTAATTTTTTAATCAATAAATTAAAAACAAATTCTCCATATTAATTTCAAGTACTAATACATAGTTTAAAAACACTACATTAATACACATATGAATTAATAATGCGAAAATACTAATTATCCACCCTCACAATTGTTCGTACACCTATACTCCATTAACAACTACTACATAATCAAATGTTGTGCCCACATTTCAGTAGTTATGCTATCCCGTAGAGTCGTCATGTCATCTATAATACATTGATGCAATTGACTCAATTCCTCCCCATTCCCTTCATCTTCTACCTCGTTTTTGACATCAACATATTCTTGCTCATAAACTCTATCTTCATTAGACCATTCCAAGATAGGGTCCTGCATACTATATCTTATGATAAAATTATGAACTACACAACATACCATAATAATTTTAGCTTGTTTCTCTAATGATAACTATTCATTCACTAGAATACGGAACCTTTTTTTTTTAAAACACCAAAGTTATCATATCTAGTTTGTGTCGATTGGTGAATGAGTGAAAAAAAAGAAGAAGAACGGGCTGGTCAAACTATCTATGGAGAGAGAGAGATAAAGGGACGAAGAGAGTTTGCGTCGCCTGGTGGAGTGATGAAAAAGAAGAAGGAAAAAGAAGAAGAGGAATGAAGACCTTTGCCTAGGTGATGAATGCTTGTAGAAAAAAGAAGAAGAAGAACGAAGATAGTTGTCAGAGAGAACAGATAAAATATGAGAGACACAACGGTTAAAAAGTAATAAAATACTCCGTTTGGTACACTCTTTAAAGTACTATTCTGGTTTTCCCAATAAAGTTAAATAGAAAATCAACTCAAAAATGCATTTGTTTCAATATTCTCAAAATCCTATTCTACTTTATTCATCTCACAAAACATTAATAATTATCTTTCTCGTAAAGATAACCCAATTTTACTTTTTTTTTTTTAAAATACTATTTTAAAAATCATCCAATAATGAACCAAATGAAGCCTAAGGGTGCGTTTGGTTCATTATTTTGGACAGGATTTTGGGAATAATTTTGAGTAGTTGGATAGGGGAGTATTACAAGATAAAATTTAAAAATTTTTAAAAAAACCCCAAGGTTTACTAAATTAATTAAATACCCCCAATATGTAAAATGACAAAAATACCCTCACCACCCGCAGTGCCAGATTCCGGCCACCACTGTCGGAATCTGGCCGAAAAATTTCGTTACAACACAGACCAGTCGGATCTGTGTCGTAACGCGTCGCTATAGCCTTTTCCGGCCAGATATACGCCCAAATGTGGCAGTCGACGGCCGCAAAGATCCATCTTTGGCCTTCGTTGGCCGAAAAAGGCCAGATCGGTGAATAACTGATCAGTTTCGGGCAAGTATGGGTGGATGGGGGTGTTTTTACTAATTTTTAAACTTTTTAGGGTGTATTTAGTGAAATTAATAAACTTAAAGGGTCTAAAAGTAGTTAAAAAAATTCACTAATATTTCTGGAATAATGTGCCAAACAATATTTGGGGAATAGGATTGGAAATATGGGTAAAAATACTAACCAAAACGTACCCTAAGATTTTGAAAATTATTTTATTTGAATATTAAAACAAATGTTTACTTGTACTGTTTAAACAAATAAAATAGCATAATACTATTCTAAATAGTAAATCAAACACAACCAAACTATTTTATCATATCTCGAGGACATGTATTTAAACCCAAAATAAAATAAAAAGTTTTATGATAATGATGGGCCTTAATGATAATGACTACCAGTCAACTTACACTTCATTCATGTTACAACCTACTTGACATAATTATGAGATCAAGAATTTAATTAACTCATCATTTTAACTTTAGTTATTATACAGTATAAGAAATATCCCACGTGATTATTAAAATGAAAAAAATAATAATTTTTTTATATGTGAAAGTTTAATTAGATAATTTTGGGTTCGTTTATTTTATTATTTTGGATAGGATTTTAGAAATAATATTGGGTAGTTGAATAGGGAAGTATTACGAGGTAAAATTTAAAAATTTATAAAAAAAACTCCCTAAGTTTACTAGTTTAACTAAATACTTTAACATATAAATTTTTTGTAAAATGACAAAAATATCTCCACCACCTGCAGTGCCCGATTCCAGCCACCACCGTCGGAATCTGGCCGAAAAATTGAGTAACGACACATACCGATCAGATCTGGCGGGTATGGTGTTGATATGACATTTTTCGACCAGATCCACCATGGATCTAGCCGAAAAAGGCCAGATCTATGGCCAGATGTGGCCGTCGACGGCCGCAAAAGTCCATCTTTGGCCATCAGCAATGGCCAAAGATATGGCCATCGTTGTCGGTCAACAACGGCCAGATCTAGCCGAAAAAGGCCAGTTCCCGTCATGGTGTAGGTCGTTGTGACAGATTCTGGCTATCACCGATGGTGGTTGCCGGAATCTGGCAAGTATGGGTCAGTGGGGGTATTTTTGTTAATTTTTAAACTTTTTTTTGGGGGTATTTAATAAAATTAATAAACTTATGGGGTCTAAAAGTAATTAAAAATATAATAATATTTCTCAAATAATATGCCAAACAATATTTGGGGAATAGGATTGGGGATATGGGTAGAAATATGGAGCCAAACGCACCATTTATTTTCTTTTATAGTCTAAAAATCTTGGGATTCTTTATGTGAACCCAAATTTTAAGAGTAAATGATTTTTTTCACTCAAATAATGATTCAATAACATTTTTCCACCACAAACTTTTAAAATACCACTTTATTATTCAAATTTATATTATATTTCCACTTTTGGTATCGTTGTGACCCTACACCACCATCATTCTCTTCTTCGATCATCATTCACCAAAACCCTCAAAGGCTCAAACCCTACTCCCGTTGACCTCGCCAATACCAACTACCAAAATCCAATCTTCCACCACCAAAAGCCTCATAGACTTTCCCTTTTCAAAAGCCTCAACAACTTGGACTGAGTTTGCTCTCTATTTGCCATCGGAATATAAATTTGGGTAATAAAGTAGTATTTTAAAAATTTGTGGGTAAAAAAATGTCATTAAACTATTATTTGGGTGGAAAAAAATAGTTAGCTCCAAATTTTAACTATGAGCACCATAAAATATAAACATTCACAAGAGAGATACCCAACTCTACAATTATTAGAGTATTTTAATCAAAGTTATATGAAATTAATTCTCTATACTTTTCATTAAATAATAAAACTCTTAATTATTTATGAAATAACAAAAATATTTCTATTTCTCTATTGTTAAGTTTTAAGTATTATATTAAATAGTAAAAGAATAATTTCATAAATATTTATTAACTTATATTAGTATAAGCTTTAACTAAATAGATTTTTATTATTTCATAAAATATCCGAGGAATTTTTATTTTAAATTAACTTTTTTAACTTTAAATTAATTTATATATAGATTTTAATATGACATAGGCAACTTACACGTGTTTACCTCTTATAAACGCAGCGTTTCATAGAGCCTAAAAAGATAAACGCAGCGTTTTATGGAACTGAAAAAGGTGAACGCAATCTAAACGCCCGAAATTTTGAGCGCTAAATTCAAAAACCGTTGAAAACTTTCCCGCTAAAACCCATTACTACCGGATCGCATAACTTTGCTTTCCAAGCATATTCCTTCCCTTTCTCAGATTTTCTATTTGACCAAACAATCGAAAACAGGTAATTCACCAAAATTGTCATCGGAAGATACGATTTTTACATGTAATTAATATATATGTAACGTGTTTGATGAAATGTTTTAACGAGTGTAGGTTGTGAATAGATAAGTATGCACGGAAGACTGGCATGCCGCCTTGTGAAAGAAATAACGACCGGCGAAAAAGGGCAGCTTCAGCCTTTCAATGTAAGCCGTTTATATGTCTTGATAGCTCATTGTATGAATTGCACTTGTCAGTTGAATTGATTCTTTTGTTCTACAATCATAGATCAAGCTGATAATTCATAACCCATTTATATCTAAAAATTAAATTGATTTTAATTTTTAAGATCTGAGTGGCCTTATAGATTGGTATATATGAGAGTTAAATCACTTCGGATCCTTATGACTGAATTTGATTTACATGTAATAAATTATGGTATCTTTCCGGGATTTTTATTTTTTTTGGGAGAGGAGATAATTTAATTTGTGATAGCTTTGACTTGGTTTTTGTTGTGTGATGTTACAGGACGAGCTGTTAAATGAAGTAACTAAAGAATGTAGTGAAAATTTCCTTGTGCTTCAGTCTTTGATAAGGTAATTGTCACACTGTTTCTTTCTGATCATGCATTTTGAGGACTCTTTCCATGTGTTAAATAATTGTGTATATTTTATTTACTATGTCAATTTATCTCAATTTTTGGTTGTATGATTCATGTGATGGTTCTATTTTAGGAAAATGCAGGACGAAGGATTAGATTTCCAAACAACAAGAAATGCAGACCATTATGGAGCACTCATCAACCACCTTTCTTTAATTCGGAACAAGCGCTGCTTAATGGCTTATGTGTGAGTTTTTGAGCAAGATTCTTTAAGCCAATGTGAGGTTTGTCATTATGATCAGCCGCTCAGGTTCCTTGTTTATGACTATGCAGGTATAACCGGGCAGAAATAATACAGAATTTGGTGTGGAAAGTAGGGCTTAGGCTCTTTGAACTTCCAGAAGAAATTCAAGAGAAGCTCAGTCATTCAGAGAAAGAGTATTTTAAGAGACATTCTGCTGCTCTGGAATTATACATGTCGAAAATGGATCTTGATTTGAATGTGGTGAGTCATTTCTTTATGTCTGTCATGTGAATTAAAATTTATTTTACTAAAGGTTCGCAAGTTGTGGATCTTGATTGTGATGGCTGTTGATTGTTTATGCAACAGAAAATGTAAATGGTCTAAAGAGCTGAAGGTTGGTTACTATGATAAAAATTGTTCTATGTATCTCTAAAATACAGAAAGTAGGGTTTATGGAATAATATTTTTTGCTTTGGGAAAGAATTGAGACATAATCACTAGTAAGTTGGAAATGTTTTGGAGCAAAATGCACTGAAGGGACAAAAAGGCCTTTGAAGGATCATTATTTTATTAACATTTTTTTGAGATGATTTTGAATTACACAAACATGTGATCAAAATTGTACTGTTGCTTGCTCCAAAATTGGATGAAATGTTTGAATTATCCAAATTGTAACTAATTTTCTTTATGGCATGACCAAGCATCTTGAACCAACTGCCTAGATTATTATTGCTAAACTTCTTGCTTTTGCCAGGATATGGTGCCACCAAAAGATCCTTACATCAAGGTGAGGGTTCTTGATGATGTTGGTGAAGGAATAGTAGTAAGTGATAAGGCAGCCAATTTTGCTCGCCATTCGATGCACTTTCTCAAACGAACTGATGCAGAGCCATACATCTCACGGGTGGGTTTTCTCTTTTACTGGGTTCCCGAGTTGTGTTATCAAAATGGGATCGTTGAAACTCTTGAATTCCTTTCAACTATTTATTGTTTTCTTTGATCAACAGGGTCTGATGGAAGAGCTCACAGGATAACCCAAAAGTCAAGTACAACATTTTCCCAATATTTTATGGAAATCTAACGGACTTGACTTTGTTGCTTGTTCGGCATGTAAATTCTTATTTTTGCTTAATCATACATGTAACCTGAGTGAGGAAGTTGAGCTGCTTTCTCATTCTGAGAGAAAGGATAGAAAATATATTGAAGATGCAAGCTTTTGGATGTTTTATATCGATATATTATGTTGAGATTGACTTGTAAATTAGGGTGTTTCTATTGTGTCTTGCATAGATTAGGTTCTATTTGATTAAACGTGTGGATAGACTCAAAATGCTTTGATGAAGGACAAATTCCGCAATGAAATATTTGAGTATGGTCTGGTAGAGGTAAAGACCATGAAAAACTAACAAAGAATTTTATTAATTTCTCGGCTTGATAAAATGCCAATAAATTTTACAAGTGACCTCAAGCTTTGAAAAGCAAGCCTGGATGACAGTTATCTTTTCAAATACTCGTTTACTTTCTGTGTTTACTGTTACTACTACCACTACTACTAGAACCTCTCGAACCCTCGGATAGAAAAGTATCTAATGCAACAACAATCCGAGTTTCGAACTTATGTCCTTTCAGTACAGTTCTTACCTTCCGAACCACTTGTTGCTTCATCAACTTACGTTCAGCTACGGAAAGATGCTTGCACTTATCCATCCCTTTGAGAAATTCAATCAGGGTTTCACCAGAGCCACCTCTGGATTTTTCTAATTTCACAAGCTTCTCCACCACTTGCAGTGAAAGCATCTGTTCTAAGCAGGCTTTTTTTCCCAATTCAACGACATCCATAACACAGTGCATGAACACTTCCCGTGTCTTCATCGATTTGCTTTCAAGTGACTGAACCATCCGTTCTATTAGACCCATCTGAATTATCTTATTCAAAACCAGGAACCCACCATTACTGAAAAGCATCTGGTGTAATGCTGTGTAGCCTGAATCCTGGACCTCTACGACATTGCATTGCATTAACTTAACTAGCAGTGAAATAATATCATACTCAATAAATTTCTTTATGCAAGGTTCCCCACCTCCGCAAGCTAGCTTTGTCAGTAAGAAGGCAGATCCAGATCTCATTGAATTTTGTTCTGGGTGCACATATTGCAGAAGCTCTGATAGTCTTTCTATAAGGGGACTTCGTAAAATCATTTCTCTCATTCTTGGATCACCTGCTTTCTCGACGAATGGTATGAGATCCTCCATTGCGTCTAATACCTGCTTGTTATCATTGTCTAGTACTCTATGAATGACATCTTCAAAGGTTTGAGGCTTTGGCGAAGGGGCAACACTTCTGTCTGACAAAACAAATCTTTCCAAACGAAGCCTCGCTTGCCATGGCAAAAGGCTTAGATTAGCAGGTTGAAGGGAACCATTTGCATGAGGGCCAGCCAGCTCATAAAGTGCCTTCAACGTGACAACCGCATGGTGTTGTACTACTTCTGATCCATTCTCAAGAAGTTTGATAAGGTTCTTCTCAATCTCAAAGGCAAACATTTTCTCAACAGCTTTTGATTTTCCAGCTTTGATCAATGACATCAAAATCGCAAATATGCTCTCATGCCATTCTTCAGCATTGTGAGAGAGCAAATTGGCAAGCTTATCAAAGGGAACGCTCTCAAGCACCTTGTCAACTGTCTCTGGACTACTGAACTCTGCAAGCTTTGTGAGGACAGTTAAAATGTTAGTTTGGATTATTGGATCCTCACATTTTTCTAACTGACCTGCCAACTTATCAACTGCTCCAGACATTTCAAGGGATGGAAAATAACTACAATAATCACCCTTACTAAATATATTTGTAATAGCCTCTGCAGACACAGCAATTAGACTCTGCGAGTCTGTTGAGATGAGTTTTGGAATCCAGGGTCCCAATATGCCACTGAAGCTGGCTCTGCTAGCTTCAAGTTCAGAAATGGATTTGCTAGCCATTAGAGCCTGCAGGATAGCTTCTAAGGTGATAATTGTCTGCTTTTCTTCTAAGACACTGAGGACACTCTCTATCTTTTGCTCCGCAATTTTTTTGATGTCCTCTTTCCCAAAAGTAAGAAGCCAAGGCCAAATGAATGAAATTTCTTCAGTTTCTGATTCACTTAATAGTATCTGAACTGAATCATTTTTCTTGCTATCAAGGAACAGAGAAACCATATCATGTACATGGTATAAGGGATCTGTATCATCTTTCATAAGCAATGAACCTTCAACAAGCTTGCACACTATTAGAGGGAATAGGCTTTTCTGCCCAAGAATTGAACACATAGCCTCTAGACAAGTTTCTGGTACAGGTTCTGCCCATGAAAGAGCAGCAAGAGCTATGAAAAGCCTTCTGGGATCTCTAGGCATTGCTTCAAGACTGAACCCAAATGACCCAAAAATTGTTAGAGTATTCTCAGCTTCTTTCTCATTCACATATGAGACTGGACCTGGTGCACAAGTGGCAAAGGTGGATAGATTTGTGATGGCCTTCTCCCATTTTTCACCTCTTAACTCTTTCCTGAGAGCTTTACCCATGACAGCAACTGTTAGAGGATGGTGGCCACAACGCTCGAGCAAGTTTTCAGCTATGTCCTGTAATGCAAGAAGATATCTCGACACATCAGAAAGTAATTAGTGAAATGTAACAAAAAGTTGGCCAGTGATGGTAATGAGTTAAGCACATAAGTTTAGCTCACATGTCAGCTTTCAAAGAAGCTTCCATCTTTTTTTAAACAAGAAGATTGCAATTCCCCTATGTGCTTTTTAGGGCGTTCTATAACAACTGGGTTCTATTTTGGTTTATATAACATTGAAATAGAGCTTGAAATTTTATTATTAGTATTTTTTTCTATATTAGAAGAAAAGGCCACAAAGTAGATGCTCCTCTTTTCTAGTAGCATCATTAGGGATGATTGCTCCCATCTTTAGAAGCTGTGAATGATATAATTAGCCATTTGAAACTTACGGGATATCTAGACACAATCCGAGCAAGGCTTGATGCAAAGGGCATATAACATCCTGTATTTCTGACTTAATAAAGATAAAATCCAGTATTGACAATTGTTGGGTAGTTCAAATTTTCAAATAACAGAAATGCTGCATAATCTACTTATTCACAGGCTGCACCTTCCATGTTTTCATTCACAGGCTTGTAATGCATTGACCATGTCGTAGAATCAGAAAGATAAAAAAAAATTCAATGTATCCATAACTATGCAGAGACTAATCAAATTTGCATGTGTTTTGATGCATCAAAAGATTGAAAATGCCGACATAGTTACTTGGAAACAATGTAACAAATTTGGACAACGAAATTTTAATTGAGCCAGTTCATACCGGTAACTCTTCTTCACTAAGGAGGGTATGGTAGAGAAGGATTGCCTTGCTTATCTCCCTTATATCATCTTTGCTCAACTCTACTTTCTCAGCTTCTGTTATTTCGTAGACAGCTTCATTTCTGGTTGTTACTAAATACTTGCAATCATTATTGTACAGCTTTGCAAACCGCTCAACTATGTCTTGCTCCCACACATCATCAAGAAGGATCAATAAGCTCTTTCCATACAAGGCTTCTTGAAGCAAGCAACAAAGATAGTCAAGATCTCCGATATTCTCATCCTTAATCTTTTTCCAAAACCCTATCTGCACCAAGAATTTACTAATTTTTCTTGCTAATCGCTTCTGGTAATCAGACTTACGTCCGTTGCAAGCAGCTCTACTACACCATTGTCCGAATCCAAGTTCAACCGCCCCTCCCATAAATCTTGCAGGAGGATCTGAAGCTACTTGACGAGCCAAACATGACTTTCCAATACCAGATAACCCAACAATTAGAATGACTCGATGAGGCTCATCCCGCTCTAGCAAATTTCTCACATACATAGATTTACTAGAAATTGGGTAGCCTTGTTCAGCCTTTACTTTCAATCGAATTGGGACATCTTGTGCGGTTGATTCTATTACTCTCTCAACATTTTGAGCCAATAATTGAGACTCAAGCCACCAATTCAAGTCATTCTTGATTGAGTTTACCAGTTTCCCAATAGGGTCTCCAGTCATAGAAGTCCATACTACATGAGCCAACTTCTTGATTTTACTTCTTGACACAATCCTTCTTGCCCTACCAATCTTCGGATGCAGCCTTTCTATCAGGGCATTCAAACTCTGAAGTTGGTGATCTAATTGGGGGTTATGAAGCTTGTATACATGTTTTTGTTTAACTCGGCGTGTCAAATTCTCAAGATCTGATACAAAATCCTCAAGGCTTCGAATTCTCTTTGGAGCTTCTTCAAGATTCCTAGAGGCTACTTCTAATGCACCAACAGCCCCTAACATACTTGAAACTATTTCTGTTGCTGCGGTAACGGCTTGCAAAGGATCCATTACCACTTTAAAAGGGAAGTTCGTTTTATTTCCGAATTTTGACCAGTAAAATAATTGTGCTCAAACCAATGATTGAACTCACCCAAGAGTTCAGATATAAACTCCCATTGGATCCACCGTGAAATTCACATAATGGAGATTTCATTAACATAATTCCTGAAGCTATGATAGCTCCACTGTCTATTTCATGAATACTTTAAAACAATACACTCAACTTCAACTTAGAATTGAACAAGCACCAGCAGTAACCCAATTTTGCCAAAGACAATAAGGAAAATCAAGCTTGAAGAAACGCCCCACAGCAATTACAATCTCGTTTTCAGGAAACTTTGATAACTCCATATTTGTCCCTCAAAAGAGTCCTGAGACAAATAAACCTACCCCCCTCAAAGTTATGATGCTGCAGAAGATTAAAATCAGACTATCAGATAAGGCCACAAAATAGATGCCCGCTTTGATATTTCCAATAATTTAATGAAAACATAAAATGATTTCAATCAAATTGAAATAAGAATCTCCTTTATGCTAATATAAAATAGAATAATTCAGAATTTCCAATGCACTATGAACTAAAAGGTCAAAAATTTCAACAACAATCCAACTCTAAAACATATTCCATGGCAATCACACACTCAAAGAATGATCAAAATCCTTGAAAACAATATATCCTAGTTTGCATAATAAACGAATTACATGATCCTTAACATAAAAATGAATCCAAAAATCTTAACAAAACCTCAGTAAGCTTACAGATGAACATCATTCAAAAGCAAATCCAATACAGGTTTTATATGGTCTTGAAAAGGAAAAACAATCCGTTAAACAATACAAATCCAAAGCAAACCAAAACCAAAACCAAAACCAATTCAAAAACAGATTCATACCCAGTTTGTACATCGAGAAACTGAGACCAATCATGCCGAAAAATGTCAGAAATAATTTAAAATAAAAGGTTGGTCATACCTGGTTGGCTCTGAACTTTTTATGACTTAAAAGAGAGAGTTGATGTTGTTGAAACCTAGTAAAGACTTTAGCTTTAGCAGCTTATTTTGTTGTTGAACATTAGTGTTTTTTCCACTTTAGTAAAAGATTGAAAATTTGAAACTCAAAAATATTGTCTGATGAAAGAAAAGACTATGGGCTGCATTTGTATCACAATTCTCCCCCTATCCTATCAAAAAAATGTGAACTCATTCAACTCAACTGTTGCACATTCACAAGTCAAAGGCACAGACCAATGAAACTGCGACTTGGCACGTGTAAGGAGGATGATTATTGATGAAGATAGGCTGAGGGTAATGATAATCCAATCAAATTGGAGGGTCGACTATAGTTGGGTTGCCTCACTGTTTAAGCTATCATCAATCATTCTATCATTTTCGTTCAACCTTCAAGTCCTTCAACTATGTCAAATTTCAATTCGTCCACAGTGTTTTTTCTTCTTCTTGATGATATAATACTATTTTTTTTTCTTTTTAATGTTTATTATATATGTTTGATATGCATTAAATTAGACGTTTGAATTTTTATTTTGTTTATTGTTAATTGTAATTGAATCAGGTTAAGTATATCTTTCTATTAAGAACATTAATAATAATGTTAAATAATTATCATTTGATGACCGAATAATTAACTAAGATTTTTAAGTGTATTATTCAAGAGTTCTGAATTAGATTTTAAAATTATGAAAATGACAATATCTCTCCTCTGCTCCATTAATTAGGAGAACGTACCAATTACATATCTTGACAATTAATCTTACTACATTATTAAAAACTTCAAATTTACACTATTTTCTAGTCATTCCCATATAATAAATTAATATGATCACTTACTTACAGTATAATCTAAAAGATCCCAGAGCATACATAAATTAAAAAAATAAAATATGTAAGCCGGTTGGCGATTGGCAACTGCTGGAGTAGCTCAGTTGGTTAGAGCGTGTGGCTGTTAACCACAAGGTCGAAGGTTCAAGCCCTTCCTCTAGCGGTTACTCTTTTGCAACATACTTTTGTTTTTTTAAAAATGTTTTTCAATTAATTCCACACAAGCATGACGCACTGTCACTGTGGGATGGCGACTCGCTTTGATTTCAAGCACACAATTTTACGACAACATTTCATAAAACAATTGGGGATTGGGGGGCCCAAAGACGGACCTGCCATGTATGCAAGTCGCGACGGTGTCCAGCCACTTTACTTATCAATAATACAATCTTCACTAACCATTTCATGCTAGTTTAAGTATTAATATTAAAAAATTTGAATTTTAATATTAATACTTAGGTTAATATAAATAATTAGTATACATAGCATTGGCCTTTACTTATACTTGTCAAGTTTATTAGTTTTCTATGAACATAATATTCTAAGTAACCCATAAATATAGTTAGTAATTTTAAAGTGATTTAAACTCTATTTTACTAATAAACCACAACAATTCACAAAACAATTGAATATTTTACCATCATCAATTGGGGATTGGGTCCAAAGAGAGACCCCTTATGTATACAAGTTTAATAATCGACATGTATAGACTAAAATATTTATATCAATTTGTGTATATTTCAACTAATCATCGAAATCTATTAAACACTTTATAAACATAATATTCTAAAATGGTTTTAACCCACAAAATTAATAAATAGAGCAAATCTTCTTAATCATTTAACACGTAGACAAGTTGCTGCATCAATCAATGTTTTTTGTTCAGAAAGCAAGAGGGCTTGGATGAAGCAACACTCCTTTTATTGCCAAATTTTGGATTCTTTTCCCTCTAACCAAACAACACCCATCACCCCAACTCCATTCCCATCTCCTTCTCTTTTCTTCTTCCTCGACCTCTCTCCAAATTATCATCCCTGACCCAAGTTCTCTATACAGGCAAATTGCACCATTGCCACCCACACATTTTGTGCTTCCCCAACTTGGCTTTCCCCCCAATAGTTTCATCCCCAATTCCATTGGCACCTTCTCTATTAAGCACCAAATCTCACCCTCACTAAGCTCCCACACGCAAGCGTCGCCACCGCCACCGCCACCGCAGGTGCCACCGACTAGTGTTAACCTCTCGTTTCGTTGCACCAATGCTGCAAATTCTAACCTGTCTGACATTGGGACGCTTAATTCGCGCCATGTGTTTGATATGATCTCGAAGCCCATTACACTATAGGCCCGGGCGGAAGTCATCCAATATAGCACTCCGTTGGTGTATACACTCTCGTTTGGGGTCCAAACCGTTAGTCTCACCGCGAATTCCACCGGCATTGGCCCCACTATTTTCCATGTGTCGTACCTCGAGTCGTACATTTCTAATGTGGGCTCATACATGGCGCCGCCGCTTGCTACCTCCGACATCCCACCTGCCACGTAGACTCTAAAAGACGGAAATGGGCCTTGTTTGGTCTGGCTTTCCACCACAACACCCACAGCTGGGTTAGTTCTAGCCATATTCAACACTGGGAGGTACCTAAACTGCCTGGTAAACGGATTACACAAAACCAACTGAAGAACTATAGAATTCGTAGGTCTTAAAAGAAGAAGGCTACCAATTGAGGTAACGGGCCGAACAGGGTCGGGCAAGAAGTCGAGCGATAACACATGCCACTTATCAATAACCGGATTGTGAACATAGCAACACGGGCTGCGGTTACGTGTCGGGAAAACCACGAGCCAAGCGAGGCGGTCTTTGACAGTATATTGGAGGTTGTAGGCCCTGGAACAAGAATGCCAGTGCTGGCAAACTGAGCTAGCCATAGCCAAGGAGTCTGAAGAAAGGAAGGATAAGATGTTGGCTAGGAGATCAAAGGGAAGATTGCTCCACATGTTTACGATAACAGAACAAAAAAATGGTGCAGGGATTTGAAGATTGGGGTGTGAAATTGTATATAGAATACAAGTAGAAATTTGTAGGCACAAAAAATCAATTATTGATGGTGAATTATTGGAAGCATATGCTATTGGGATGCGTGACCCACATGTGAGTCTGTTAATTTTTTTAATGTTTTCTTGTACATTGGGTGGTTCTCGGGTGAGCCGGCCCAGAGGCCAAAAAGATTGAATTGAGATGTAACCTAAAGTTTAATTATCTTTTTATGAGGACCACTCTCAACCATTAATTTAAATATTTAATGATGTAATTAATACTTAATTAATTCCCTGTGGGTTTTTAATTCCGACTTTTGCAACTACGTTATTGCTTTATTTCTTAGTCTAAGATGCTCATGATGGATGTATTAATTTGTTTTTTTAATTTAATATATGAATGAAGGAAGAATTTGTTAATTTGGTGAAGATAGAGATGAAATTAGGAGGGTGGTTGATTAAGTTTGACAAACTTCCAATTTTGAGATTCTGATGTTGATAGAATCCTTATCATCAATTTACACAATTTCAAACGGCACTCTTATTATCGATAGAAGCATCCAATTTTTTTTTTTTAAAATCTTCGGAGTATTTATATCAACTTGTGCGTAACTTAACTAATTCTCTAGGTTTTGAGGCTCTAAAACTGTCAGTCGGATAAGAACTTCAATGGCCACTTCTATTAGTGTTTGAGAGGACTCGAAATTAGGTGTCCATAAAACAATTTTTATTTTTTTTTGTGATCGAGGAGTCTGGACTAGCGTGCATGAACCTCATTAATCCCCTGGGGCTCTGAAGTGAATAACCGAGTAAATTTTCTCAATGACCACCTCTATTAGTGCCTGAAAGACTTGAATTCAGGAACTCATATTTGACCTCTTTGCTCTTTTACCCTCAGGCCACCCAGTGGTAGCTAGCTCATGGAACCCAATTAATGGTGGTTAATTGTCTTACTTTAGTATTGTTTATTTTCATAATCGGCTAGATAAAAGCTTTAATGACTATCTCTATTAGTGTCTGAGGAGACTCAGAATCTAGGAATTCATGAAACATCATTTTACTCTTTTACCATTAGAATATCCAGTGTGGTTAATTGTCTTGATTTAATATTGTTTATTTTCATAGTATTTGGTGTTAGAAGAAGTGAAATTCTCCAGAAGATCTGTGTAGGATTAAATAATTTCATTGTTTATTATGGATCTCTTTCATTGTCACATGCTTAGTTTAGTAGACTCTCATTTTATTTATTTATTGAATAGAAGAGATTCGGCGACAAGTTGTAAAAAATTGACTATTAAAATCTCTTCTTTTGTTTTCAACCGTTGGAGAATTTGATGGAGACAAAACGAGTACTATAAGGACAAATAGATTTTTCTTGGTGACAACTGCATAATCCCGTTGAGAAAAATCTCCGATAAAACTATCGAAAACCCAAACTAGATGAAATCTTGGGAAGAGGCCCTTTCAAGATTGTCCAAAAGGCCCATTCAAGGCCCATTTAGACCATCTATAGATCCACAAAAGGCCCATTTAGACCAATCCAAGCCCACCAAAATACACTCCTCATTCTCTATATATTTTTGAAATTGTACTTTAGGTTTTAACAATTAAATACATGTATGCAATAGGATACTTTAAATTCTCCCAAGTGATTATTTTCTTTATGTAAATAATAAAAAATGATGTGACAATTAGAACAATAAATCTAAATGATACAAACTTTTGATAAGATTTGTGGATTACTTCCTTTTAATATTATGCAACATAAACTATGAAATTGATTAAATAAAAATATAAAGAGAGTTAACGACTTTTTCACACCCAAAAAATAAAGGTTAATGACACTTTTCCATCATTGGATTTTTAAAATACCACTTTAGTATTCAAATATTATGTTTCTCTCTAGTTTGGGTGGAAAATACAACAATTTTTATTGTGAAGACAAAAATACCCTTCTCTTGTCATCGATGTTGGAGAGAACGGTGAACATTGAAACCCTAAGTGGTGGAGAACGACGAACAACATGCAATTGGCAAATCAACCTTCAATTTTGCTTAATTTCATCAATCAAACACACCCTAAGTTCATCATGCAATTGAAACCCTAGGAAAAGGACAGTAGTAATCGGCGAGCAAATGAGGTTAGGGTTGTTAGAGGTTTTGGAGAGGGAAGGATGGGGATTCTGTTGGTGGTTTCAAGGTGGATTTTCGACATCGAAAACGACTGGAAATTGACCTAGAAGTTGAAAGGTCACGCGGTGCGCGACTAGCGATAGACGAGCAAAGGGCGGTGATGGAGGTATAAGGGTTTTGTAGAGTGGGTTTGTGGAGAGTGTGATGGTGGTGTTTGGGTGAATTTCTGGCAAAGAAATCAATCGAAAATCCAGCTTGAAGAGTTGACGATGCGAATAGAGGTGGTAGTGAGAAATGATGAGTGATGGTGGCAAATAGAGGCTTGGAGTTTGTTGAGGAGGTGATGAAGATTCTTTGAGTGGTCTTGAAGCCATTTTAAATGTCAGGATCGACTTGAAAACAACAAAAATCATCGGTTGCAATGCGCCATCTATTGCTAATGTGTCCCGTCATTTTTTCTTTTGTTCTTGTACAACCGCAAAAATATTTTTGACTATTTTGCCCTCACTTATAACGGACTGTTGACCAGTTATGTTTCGAGTATTGAAGTAATATCTTAAAAGTACAGAAATGGGAAAGTGCCCTTGAGCTTTTTTCGGGTGGCTGAAATAAACTAATGGTAAAAATTTATTGAGTTACAGGTGTCGGGTCCATGGTGTTCCATATGCCACCATCATCTAACGTGGGCAGTTGCCACTTCCATTGTCTCTGTGAATGGGCCCCTGCTGATTTCCAATTAATGAAAAGCATTAATGGCTTCTTCTAAAAAATGGGCAGCCTTAATTTCTACCATTGCTTCTTCTTTCTACTTCTTTCTCATTTTCTTCCAAGTCCCTCTTTTCAGGTACAATATTGATGAATTTCCTTGATTCTAAACAACTTAAAGCAAATGAATATATATTTTTTTCCCGCAAATTTACGAACACATTTGCACCTCCATGCTTTTCTTTTGATCACATTCTATTATACTTCTAAATTTTTTTTAAGAGAATTTATTGTACTACTTTTTTCTCAATTTGGGATTTTTTTATTCTTGCTTCAAATTTCACATATAAATTCACAGATAAATCTGACACATATTGTTGAACAAACAAAATGCAACATACATGATTACTCCATTCATGTCAAGTTATTGGTATATTTGTTTCTTCTTTGTTTATTTAGGCTGCATTTCTAGAGAAGAAACCACTTTGTTTTCAAAATAATAAGACTTATTGATGACATAGGGAGGAAAAATCTTACTTGTCAATCTCATGTTTGATAAAAGTTTCATAATGTTATACTGTTTCATACCATACTGTTCTCAGTAAAGGCATGAATGAGTTTTTCATTGAGCTTCAATAGCACTAAATTGAATTGGTTGTGCTGGTTGGTTTCACAGGGTACAATGTAGAAGTGGAATTTGCACGACACCTATAGAAGTGACATCTTCTCAGTTGATTGCTAATGAAGTCTTTCCTGAATCTGTTATTAAGGCTCTTCTTTATCCAGGGGCGTTTGCGAAAGCTATCCTGAAGAGTTCAACCATTCCTAGCTACAACAAATTGCTCAACTTGTATCAGCTCACCAATCTCAACAATGCCTCTGTTGCAACCGATCTCCAGCGCCTAGAGGTTCATGTATATGCACTGTTTGGTCATCTTTCTTGCTTGTATTTAGCCGCGCATATGATCATTTCTTGCTTGTTTTTGTTTGCATGATCAGATTCTTGCAGGAAGCTACTTGTCTGTGGCAGGAGCCCTTTTATGTCTTGTAAGAGCAGGGAGAATTGGCCTGTTTGGGACACTTATTACATTATGGGGCCTTGTAAAAGAAGTTATCAGTCTCAAAAAACATGATGACATAATTCCCACAAAAGTTGTTTATATCTACCCAACTATGTTAATGGCTGTGCTTTGTGCTTTCTTGTCTATAAGAAGAGATTTAAGAAAAATAATTCGGTGTTGTAGAGCTAGCAGGGCTGTTGCAAAATCTGAGAAATCAAAAGCAAAAGATACATAGGTTGAGGCTGCCAAAAAACATGATTGCTGTAAGTAGCCAAGTGTTACACCAACAATTGGATACATGGAAGGAAACACTTAAAACAGAAAAATGTTTTGAGATAGTTTAATGTTGTATGTAAGCATTAATTTTAGATTCAAAGTTAATTGGAGCCATATTACCTTTGTAGAACATTTGTATTTCTAGGCTTGTGTCGGTTCTCTTGATTCTTTATGAAAATTTTTGTGTAGTTGATTCCATATAGCAATTCCTTTGTATATGAGTTGGTTTAGCGAGTGGAGAAAATGCATGTATTACTTGGATTCTTCATAAGAGCAAATTCGGATGACACTTTATAATCTTCTTTGATTGCATTGATCTTTAAATCGAGAAACTCTGTTTAAATATCTTTTTAGTTGTTTGACACTTTTGATTATAACTTCGAAAAAATTTCATTCTCTCATGAGGTTTGACCAAACACAATTAATCCCTCATGATCTGAAAATAAGACAAAAGCTTTTGCAAACTTTCTGATGGTTAACATAGACTTAAAATTCTTTACAGGCATCCTTATAGCAATTCTCTGTTAACGACACTTACCATACCATAAAAAATATCATGTCTATCAATATCTTCTAAAGTTGTAATGTCATTTTCGGTCCCATGAATGTTTATGTAAATTAACTTTGGAACACCCCATGTTGCTTGTATGTTCATTAATGCCATGGAATTTAAAGGATTGTGTTAATCATGTTGTCCCTCAATTTCCTGTGACTCAAAACTGAGAAAATGGGGCCTAGTTTGTTAGGTGTGTCCTGTGTATGAGTTTCCTTGAAATGAAGAAATGCTACTCATAATGGCTAAAGCAAGATGAGAATCATGAGCTAGTATAAACTCCAAGAATATGTGGCTCAGAATCACATGGTGTGCAAGACATATAATCAAACACATTTTTTGCATTCACATTTGGAATTGAGATAAGATGACAAGGCATTCAGCATCAAATGGGCATTACAAAATGAGCTAATGGCTACTGTATATGGATCAGGATTAAAATTGTTAACCATCTTTCATAGTTAAAAACTGCTTGGAGTTGGAGATTATCTTTTTATATTGAATATCCTAATTGAATATTCCATAAAATCTTTTAGATGATTGAAAAACATTTTCTTCTCTTTTTAATTAAATTTTTAGGTAACTGAATGTGACATTATCAATTTAACATGTGTTGTTTCTTCTTCAGTGATTTTTTTTTTTATTTTAACTGAAGTTAGTTTAGTGGAAAATGATATAAACTGAAATGTGAACATGATTTTGTACAGAGCACAAATATTCTTTCCCACTTTCTGAATCTGCTGCTCCAGTAATTAATGATTGGCCCACATTAAAAAATAATCCAGAATATTTGGAAGTTGTGTGCCTCACTTTCTCCTTTATCATTCCCACCAGCTATTAATGATTTTGATAGTAATGTTGGGTTCTTTGGGTTTTAGAATTGGATTTTGCTTCTGGGTCTGAAAGTGCAGAGCGAGAACTTCGTTAATTTATCTTGCTTTGTTGGGTAAGTTGTCACTTTTTGGAGATAACCTAGACAGCCCAGTTGAATTTTGCATTTTTGAAGTGGGTTTCAGTCTTTAGGGTTTTTGGGTTGAAACCCAGAACGAATTTGAGGTTTGAAGTGCTGAAGAGTGATAGAGTTTAAATTTTTGGTGACTGAGAGAATTTAGAAGGTCAAACAACTTCTTTTCAGATTTCTTATATGCATTATGAATTTACAGTGGAAATTTAGTTGTTCTTAGATGCAGGTTGTGGTTGAAAGACGCTCATAGGTGAATTTGATGGCAGACTCTGGTTCATGGATAGTATAATCTAGATATTCATTCAGTTCTGTTAGCTTGAATTGATTGGTTTTGGTATAGGAGATGTTTGATAGAAGTTTGGCAGTATCTGTTCATACATTAAAATACCCATCATGTATTTCGGGTTTTGGAAAGAGTCATACGAGTGTGTATAAGACAAGGTTAAATCCAGTTCTAGCTATGCCCCCTTCATCAGTTCTCTTACACACAGATGAAAATGGAAAATTTCAACAACTTAAGAAGAGTTCTGGTTCAAATGAAGCTTCACTAGGCTGTCATTCTTTGCATAATCAAGCTAAAACAGTTGGTATAATTGGAGGAGTATCAGTAAATTCTACTTTGAATTTTTTGACAAAGTTGATTCAACTGAGTGGTCAAGAAAATAGCATTCCCTTTGTGCTTTGCTCTGATCCTGTGTTAAATAAGGAATTATTGTTCTATGAGAGGAACTCTTTGCCTTTTGTGAATGGTAAAAGTGGATGTGCTCAAGCTGACCCTACCTCAATTGTCGAGAATTTGAGGAGTAAAAGGGATTTTCTTGAGAAATCAGGAGCTCGCTGCATCGTAATGCCTTGTCATCTCTCTCATACTTGGCATGATGAGGTTTCTAGTGGATGTTCTGTTCCTTTCCTGCATGTAAGTGAGTGTGTTGCCAAGGAGCTGAAGGAAGCAAAGCTCAAGCCTCTTGAAGCTGGGAGTCCTTTGAGGATTGGGGTGCTTGCAACAAATGCAGGGTTTTATCAGGAGAAACTTCAGAGTGAGGTAATTTCCTTCTTTGACTCATTTTATAGTTGTTTGTTTGCTTGTTTGTTTTTTTTTTTTTTTTTTTTTTTTTTAATTTAACTATATAACCAAGAAAAAAAAAAATTGAAATTAGCTAGCAAAGACATACGTTATCTTATTGATGCTCTATGGATGCTTCCAAAAGGTATTGAAATAGGAATTGTGAATTTATCCGCGTGAAGAGTAGCAGAATTGAGAGTGTAACACCTATTTTAGCATTAATAAGACCTTGAATGAAAATATTATGCAGTATAAAAGTGGAATAGATTCTAATTCCCATCTTGTAAGAACTGCAATAAAAGTTCCTGTCAACAGTTTTTATGGGATGTTTTGCGAGACTGTCTTAGAACGATTTGGTTATAGAAAGGATTATATTGGCAAAGGGTAAAATAAATAAAAAGAGAGATGAAGAGGAAATGATAAGGAAAATGATTTTGTACCCTATTAACCTTTCCTTTTCTTTTTCTTCTGCGTTAGCATAGAAGAATAGAATATTTGAAACTTAGGACTACTTGTCATGCCTCTAAAGCTTGCACTTTGTTGTACTAGGTGTTAAAAGTATCTCATCTTTAGCTTACATCTTAAGCTCTTTCCTTCTATTTTCTTTAGTGGTCTATTTGATTAGAGTGAGTGCATGGGAATCGAGTGGATGTCCCAAAAGCCTCTAGCAAACAGAGTGATCTGCATTGACTCTGTGGTCAGCCAAAGAGATTGAAGACATTTTCTCCAGGGCTTCTACTTTTAGAGTCCGTGAACCTTCTAAAAAAGAAGCCTAGTAGCCTACCTATAATGTTATTTTGCATGCTTGAAATTGCGGTTTATATAGTTCTTCATTGAGATGAACTTAAAATCAAACTTGTTGAAGTTTGGGGGGGTTAAGGGTTGTTCTAAAGTCTTAAATGCTATACAAAAATGGGCATAAGTACAAAACTCGTAAGAACTAAAGTGGTGGTTTTGAAATCACAAACTAATGTTTTTTTCAGTTTCCTTGACAACCAAATATCTTATAAGGTTAAACGGGTACGACAAATTTTAGCAGAAGACAGAAACTGAATGTCCCATGTAAATTGCATTTTACAACTAGCTCAGATGAGCGCATCATATAAAAATAAGGTCTTCCATTCTTTCTGATTTACATTTTTCCAGCTCCCATCAGGAAACATATTTAAAGTGATATATAAGTAGGAGTTCACTATACATTATTGTACATATTGAACTGAAGGCTCAAGCTGTATTCATGTTAGCCTAAATGTACTTTGTTTAAAAAAGGTAAATTTACCTGGCCATTACAGCTGACATTTCCCCCAACAATTTTGGAATTGTTGAGCTTTATTTGAAATGGATCCATTTCTTTTTATCTTGTTTCCGTTTATTTCTGTGTTGGGTGCTATACTGGAGTGCAATCCTTACTTGGGTGTGATGTTTCATACTGTTAACTTCTATTATTTCTTTTTCTATTTAGGGATTTGAGGTTGTGCTACCAGATAAAGCAACCATTGAACATACGGTGATCCCTGCAATAGATGCTTTAAACGGAAAGGACATGGAAGGGGCCCGGAATTTGATGAGAATTGCACTTCAGGTACTGTTGGTGCGGGCAGTGAACACTGTAATCCTGGCCTCTGATGATATGCGGGGTATATTGCCTCATAATGATCCTCTTCTTAAGAAATGCATCGACCCACTGGATATACTTGCCAAGTCAACCATTGAGTGGGCGAAATCTGCTGAAAGAGGTACATAGAGAATGCCAACAACTTGATTAATCTAGTTCACCATCCATCTCCATTTTGCCAAAATTTTATGTGTAAATGTGTTACACAAATATTGTCATCATGTGAGGAATTCGTGTGTTTATTTGAAGATTAAAAGGTGAAAGGGTGCCTTTTTAAATGAGTTAAATTCTTCAATCTGAAAATCCCTTTTGTATCTTGACTTCTTAAATATGCAAAATTGTTCTTCAATGTTTTGGTTCTCTTTCATGATTGCTACTCTCATTCATCTTAAGAGCGATCTTCATGTATCAAGCTTGAAGATTCCAGAGATTTTAATATCCAATAATCATTTTATGCTTTGGTGGTACAACCCTCTATTATTATCACTTGAACACATTATTGGTTCTTCCCATTATTTTGTTTGTCGACTTGAGAAAACCTTTATACTTTTACATTTAAGAGAGCAAACTTCTATACTTTTACATCTAAGAGAGAATGTTGATCCCACTCACCGTTTCCAACCACTTCTAACAATCTTTAACAGTGTTAGTTAAAGGTGGGAATCTGGAATATATGTTACCAAGAGTATCATCTTGGGATTTCGCTAAACCTCGGGTGAGAATATGTCGTTTACTCTTTTGTTGACCTTAAAGGCTGAGAATTTAGATTTGTTATTAGCGGAAGGGAATCAGGGAAAGTGGTTGAGATTGATTCTTTTATAAATCCGTCTTCTTCTTTTCTTTCCTTCTCGGCCAGTGATAGACTGGTGTGCTCTTCTATATATTATGTGGCAAAACTACACACAATTGCTTCTTGAGTTTCATTTCTCACATCGCTTCTCTATCATGGAAAAATTAGCAATTTTAACAATTCTGTGTTAATTTGAGAGTTTCAACGACAATGTCAGTGATTATTGCTCCTACCTAAAATTCGCTACCAGATCAATTACTGAAATGAAATCTTGATATAAGGCACAAGCCTAGGAACTAAAGTTGAAGAGATAACTTCATTCTTTATCCCAAATCATTCTACCTGCGGCATCTGCCCTTTGCTGACTGAATTTCATGTTCCGTGCACAGAAATTTTGATACATGGAACAGTTTGATACATGATCTCATTTAAAGAGGTGATATTCAGAAATCTCAGTTAACTTTAGATGATAGAAAGACAAGAATCCTGCACTCATACCTTTATTTATTAAATGAAAACAACTACTGAAGAACAGTACAAACGAATCATACTACATGTGACACCAGTTAATTGAGAGCTTTTACATCAAACTTCACTTCTGAATGAAAAGAAAGAACAGAAAAAAAGAGTAGCAAATCCAGTGGTCCATAATTTGCTGATATGAAAATGTTAACATTTACATATCGCTCTGCTTTATTATCTGTGACAATATTTTTGCACAAATTCCGCTTCAAGATCTCCAGTTATTCATCTTCAGAATCATCTGAAATGAGTTCGTCTTCTGAATCATTTGCTATGCGTTTGAAACAGGGAACAAAAGCATTTTGAGTGGCTTGATTCTCCCACTGTATTTCTTTCCACCAACCTTCCTTTCCCTTGATAACAATTTTACCTTCCTTTACACGGTTGGAATCGAGTGGGTAGGTTCTTAAGGTCTGGACATCTTTCTACAGACATTTCCTCCAGATGTGGAAAAGGCAAGACATCTAAACAGATGCTGTTCAAATTTGGCAAAAAACTAATCGAAGAAATTTGAGTTTTGCAAATGGTTTCAGATTTTCCATCATTCCTCGAACTTCCCCTAATTTTTCAACACTGATTATTTCTTCCATATCAGAGCAACCTATCACCACAAGTTTTTTCGTGTTTGGAGCAAGAATAAGCCATGTCAGGTCCTTCAAGTTTCGGCAACCCTGTACTTCAACCGTGTGCAGGCTGTGGAAACCTTGAGATTCTCTTATTTTCAGAACTTCCCTCACACAGTCAACCTTCAGTTCTTCCCAATATTGACAAAAACCAAAAGAGAGTGTCCGTAGATGCTTCATGTATGCTAAAGATAAAGACAATCACATGTACTCCGAATTGTCCAAGTATCTGAGGCTTAAAGATTGAGTACAGCTTTGTAATTTTTGAGAGCTCAAAACTGTTTGAAGAGCATTGAAACTTTTTAAGGTGATACTCAAGAAGTTTAAATGCTTTAAACAAAGCAATTCACCTACCAAAATTTCACCACCTCCATATAAAACACTATCTACATTTGCTCTATTATCAGAATCGCACTCAAGCATTCTCAATACATGCAATTTTGAGAACTTTGATATCAACTGCCGCGGTATTGAATGGAGAAAATCTGTGAACTCCAAGTTCAAAGATTTAAGATCTACCAAGGCCATTAACTCTATTGGCAACTTTTCTATGATAGTCCATGATAGGTCAAGATGTTGTAGTGAAACCAATTCTGAAACTCCTGTTGGTAGTTTTGTTTTTGTTAGACTATAGTTCCATGATAGTTTTAATACTCTTAAGGAAGGCATACATTAGTTCACAAATGGGATGATGAATACACAAAAGCAGAGAGTGTAAGATTTGCCATGGTTTAAAACAGAAAACATAAGTTGAACTTTCATTTGATTTAGTGATCCATTCAATAACTCGATGCCTCATTTAATGTTTAACAATATCACTGGAACAACTCTAGAGTTAAGAGGAGAAAATCTTGAGCACAAATCTGTTTACAATTCCCACCAAAATCCAATGGTAAAGGCATGTATATTTTTTTCTACGAAAGACAGTACACTCATCAAGGTATTATTGAGGAAGAATCAAACAAAATTTCTACTGAAGCTTCTTTATCCCAGGAAAAGAAGGGAGAATTGCAATGAGAGCATCACCATATCCAACAGGCTCTGTTCAATTTAAACAAAATAACCCAACCAAATTAGAATATAAACCGCATGATACAAAAAAGAAATCCAAGATTGTGAAACTATTGAAAGATGCACAACATACCGCCATCCTCTCTAAGGATTTTGATCACTTCCCCAGATACATCAGACTGGAAAATAAAATCAGGAAAATAATTAGCGGAAATGGTGAATCAGTCCTTGCTTGGCTCAGAACAAGCACAAAGTGTAACTATCAACACAATTAAGCACAATAAATCATGTGAAAGTTAAGAACCAAACCTCAATTGGAATTTCACCACCAAGTTGTTCAATATAGCAAAGCACTTGACCCTCCTTTACTATTTGCTTCTGTTGAGCAATAAAGCAAATGTTATCAGAGATGTTGACAGATTAGTCATGAGTGTAAATCATCTCTTGAGAGAAAAAAGAAAATATGTTGGGGTGGCAAATAAGACAAATTGAAATGACTTCATTCAGAGTGCAATGGACCATCACAATGGGTTAGTTCTAGAAATGACTTCGAAATTTACCCAACCTGAATCCAACACTAAACCAAAGGTAATCGTAAAAGTGCAATCCATCAAAAATGTTTGATTTTCTAAAAGGTAAAAAAGGTCACCATTATGCCATGAACATTACCTCTTTACATGATGGTGGTGCACGCTTCCCCTTTATGGTTCGAGATCTCCTGAAAAATCCCACCTGCACCATATCATAATTTAATGACCTTAGTCCTGGAGCTTGAAGAAAGTAGAAGGGCCAACATTTTGGTTTCTCACCTTCGGAGACTGAAGTATCATCAAGCCTTCATCAGCAGCTTTATCAAGAAATCTCTGAACCCTCCCTAAAGACAGCACGGGTTTTGTAATAGCCAGAGATGGAGAAGTAACAGACCCATTTAAATCAGGTTCCTCAACAGTTGTATTTATGCTGACAGGAGCAGGACTTGAAGGAGGTGGAGGTACACTGTTCCTATTTAAGTCCCTTGTCACATAGAGCCTAAAGCCATCGAGCTAACAAAATATGGGAAAGACTTAGAATTCAAGGGACATATGTCTCTGCTTATACTTTATTATAGAAATAGCTGGAAGTAGCATTCTAGTTATAAAATAATTACGACTAAAACAAAACAATTTTGCAAGAGCTTACTTTCAGTTCAAATTCAGCAACTGAAGTTGAATCGCATATATCTGTGACAAGAGACTCCACCTGCAGAAAAATTTAAAAAGAATTTTAAAATCTAAGAAACATCTAAGGAATAAAACAGCATAATGTACAAACTGATTTACCAGTTGTAAGTACTTAGAAAAGGTTGGTCTTTCCATTATGTTTTCAATTTTCTTTATGGCTGTTTACAAAGATGAAAAAAACCATGCAAGCATTACTAGCAGATTTATCCTACATCTGTTTATACAATATAAAATAAAGAGTCTCAAAATAAAAAATAAAAAAACCCTACAGATTGCAATCTATCTGTGGCAACAAATATTTAGAAGAAAAGAGAAGTAGCAATACAAATTGTCGCAAACATGCATTTATTATATAGCAAGATGGAGAGTGAATAAAAATTGTAGTTACCTCTGATGAATTTGGAATGAGTTGGCTTCTCAAACTAGATGACTTTGTCTCTTCATAATCATCGTCAACACTTCTCGCAGCTATAGTGTCAACAACAAAAGGATTACTCATCTTAGTCATCAATAAACTGCAGAGCTTCTTCAATCACAGTAATATAATAGACACATATACAATACATAGATATATGTTGAGGACTTGCAAAAGAAGTAAAAATGAAGTATGTTTCAATAAAGAACACTTACACTCAGTTTCCAAACCACAATATACCCTGAATGTCTTTTCCACTGGCTGTGATATCACCAAGCCTGTATATAGTACTTGTTTCCGTCCCATCCATTTCCTTACATCACATCGTGGTTGTAAATCACTAGCTCTGACTCTACCAAGGTTCACTCTGAGAAATTTAACATTTGAAGCTCCCAAGCTACCTGGAAAAGAAAAAGGCAACAATTATTCAGTACTTAACTAAGAGATTCTTTGCGTGTCACAGACTGCGATTCACTAGTTTATCTTTATTATACTTCAATAAACAGTGACCGCAGAAATCACAATGAACTGATGAAGAGGAAAAATTAGAAGTTTTGAAACATAAGTTATACACCATGAACTCTTTAATAACCTGGAAAAACAAGGAACTGCAAATGACGGCAATACAAAAATTATATATTTGGTTTCTCCAATATAGATGTAGATGCAATCTTGAACTCATTAACAATAATACTTGGATTAGCTTTTGTTCCCAGTGTGTATCCGAAGTATTTAATTTAAATTTCATATACCATGTCCCCATCATCTAATTTAACCTTCCTGAAGTGATAGCGCACTACAATGATGATGTATAAATCCTGGTATCATTTATCGGGCACAAGTGACACAACCTAAAAAATGCCTCAAAAAGATAGAACAGATGACAGTCCTATTCAAGATTCCCCCCACCATTACGTGCATCCAAAGAAATTATTTAACAGCATTCCCGATGCCAAATCTTTAACTTACAAGTAAAAGAAATTAACACAATGTCTTATAAACAATGCATATTTTTGCGTCTCACAACACTACTAGGTGGAGGTAGCAAAATATATCTACAAATACAGGACAGGATAAAAACCGATTTCACCTTCTTCAAGTTAACATGTGTTAGCACAACAAGAATTATACAACAATTTGGGAATTTTAGGGAGTCTATGCCAGACAAAATCAAGGAAATACTTATGTCAGTCCTTGCTACAAAGCCTATAGTACAAGAATTATATAAGATTTTCATATTAACCACTCATATAGCCATAATGATAGAAGATGCCCTGGTTTTTGTCGATTACAAAGCTGTAGTCTTAACTCTAGAAATCTGTAACCTACACTTCTGTTTCTCAAACCAAATCATTGATTAGATACACTTACTAAGGATCAAGTAGAATTATTTATTAACTAAAGAACATTTGAACATCTAAAGAAAATTATATTATCCATAAATTGATTCAAAGCATTGTAAGGCACTAGCACCATAATATGGATTCAAAACCATAAAAGTTCATCCAATTATCACTGTTTCAAACAATTGCAAGGCACAACGAACTCAAATAACAAAATTAAAAAAATTCAATAAAACCATTGTTTTACCTCACATTGAAGTGCATTTTGCTAGACAGGACCATTTTCAATTTCATTGGATCATCACAAAGAAGTCAGATTCTAAAAGCAGCCCATAACTTCTTTATTGAAATTAGTAAGGCTTAATCGTCCTTCTCAAATTCTGACATTCTAATTGATCATTTCGATAAAATTGATGATAAGGCTTCAATGTACATTCTCAATATCTTATCATACATCAACAAAAGAAAAATATCACAAAAATTCCCCAATTTTAGACATTACAAACTTCAAGGCTAGTTCAAAACAACAAACCTAAAAGCACAATTAAGGAGGTAAACAAGTCGAGCAAATGCAAGAAGGAACATATTAAAAAAAAAAAAAACATAAAAACAAACAATGAAATTCAACAACCTGGGCTCTCACAAAAAAAGCACAACACAATAATGAACGAACAAACCCAGAAAACCAATCACCAACACAACAAAAACAAAATCAACACATACCCATTTCTCCTACGGACAGATAATCATTAAGCCATTAAATTCTCCAAATAAAACATTCTAATAGACTTACATGAAGCCATTGAAACCCTCTTGAATATCAATGAAAAGACGGCAGAAAAAGTGCTGTATACTTAGAAAAAAAACAAAATTCAGCAAAAGAAAGATTGAAGTCAGACGTTAAACCCCATGTAAAAGGTTGCAGAGGAGCAGGACACCTGTTTCAAACTTTATGAAACCCATATGAGGTTGAATGATGGAGCCAACACCACTGTGAAAAGCGCATACCTCTGGATTTTGGATTAGCTGGCCTCGCCGAGGCCCAGGCCCACTTTTTTTTTTTATTTTATTGTTTTCGTGTAATAATTGATTGATTTTATTAACTACAACATGATTAATTATATTTAAGTAGAGATGTCAAATTCATAACTTAGGACGAATTAAAAGAAAAAGCTAATAAGGCAATTGATTTAATCATTTATTGAATTAGGGTTTTGTTTAATGACATTGAGTGAAAAGCAACTAAGGCTATGTTTAATTAGTCATCCTATTGGATTATAGGGCTTCTATTAATAGGATTCAATAAATGAAGGCATCTTTTAGGGAAAGGTAAACATTATGACATACTTATTCTCTTATTTTAATCTTATTAATTATTTCTTCTTTTCTTTTTGCCCTTTTAACGAAGAGTTTGTAATAGTTAATGCTCATACACATACATTTTAGTTACATACAATATTGGGACTCAGGCTGCGTTTGGTTCAAATTTGGGGGTTTTGGGAAAGTTTTTTGAAAAAAGTTAAAAAAAGTTGAATTGGGCGGGTATTACGAGGGTAAAATTTATAAATTAATAAAATCTCCTTATGTTTGTTTTTTTACAAAATACCCCCTAATAAAACATTAAAAGTTAACAAAAATACCCCTAACCCACCTCAAAAACCCCCAGCGGCGACCACCACCGGAGGTGGCCGGAACAGCCGTATGGGCGCATGACGGTTGGATCTTGCCGGTCATGCGTCGCTATGGCCTTTTCCGGCCAGATCCACGGTGGATCTGGCCAGAAAAGGCCAGATCTACGGTCAGATCTGGCCGTCAACGGCCAGATCTGGCCGTATTTACTCTCAACGACGGCCAACAAACGGTCGTCGTTGATGGTCAACGACGACCGTTGTTGGCCGTCGTGACCGAGTGTTACGGCCAGATCTTTGGCCTTAGATCTGGCCTTTTCCGGCAAGGATAAACCGTGGATCTGGCCGGAAAAGGCTAGATCGGCGCACTGCCGGCCAGATTCAGCCGGTAGTGCGCCATTCTACCAGATTCCGGCCATTTTCCGGTGGTGGTGGCCGGAATCTGGTAAATGTGAATTATTGGGGTGTTTTTGTAATTTAAAAAAAAATATTTAGGGGTATTTAATTTAATTATCAAATTTAAGGGGTTTAAAAAAAGTTGAATAATTTTGGGAGTAGTATTCCCAAAAATCTGAATTTTTGGGTATTTTACTGTTTAACTTTTTTGGGAATACTAAAAGTAGTATTCCCAAATGTTAAACAAACGCAGCCTATAATCTTAGTGTTTTAAAACTCGGCTGGCCCGGCTGGTTGAACAGAGACCCGAGGCCTTAACTGGGTCAGATTACAAATTTTCCTATTAATTCAAGACCTTAGAAATTAGAACATCAATCCGTGAACAATTGAAGGTTGAGATGTTAGGCCTTTTGAAGAGGAATGACCAGTGAGTTGAATGGTGGTAGAGGTGGAAAAGTAGCCCGCCCAACCCGACTCGGCCCGCGGCGGGTTGCGCAAAGTGGCGGGTCGGTCCTGACCCGTCCGCCAACATTGGCAGGCCGGGTTAGGCCTGCCAATGTTGGGGAATTGGCTGGCCCAACCCGGACCACCAACCCTAACCCACCGCGTTAGGCCACGGGTTGGGCCGGGTTAACCCTCTTTTTGATTTTTTTTTTTTTGTTTTGTTTTGTTTAAGTTTAAATGTTTAATTAACTTTTCAAATGAATAATTAACAATTTATAAATGAATAAATGTAATTGTTTTTAGTTAAGTGTTAACTTCTTTTCAAATATCAATAATTAAATTAAATTAAAATTTTTTTTGTTAACATTCCAATTTCCAAATATTAATTCAATTTTAATACATTAAAATTGTAATATAAGAAAAATTAAATTTATTCATTTATTAAAAAATAAAATAAGAAATTACAATAATTATTGACTCGTTAAAAACCTCAACAAGAAAAACCAAATAGGACAAAAACTTGGTAAGGAAAAAAGAGTGCAATAATTGACAATTAATTTACGAGTTACAATTTACAAAACAACTAATTTTGAGGTTCACTAGGACCTCCCTCATCCGTATAATCTATATTACAAAATTAAAATGATTATATTAAAGTATTGTCGACAACCTTGTATTGACCTTGATGGCGCGACCGTTCCCAATCTCGAAGACATGTGAGGACTTCAATCATTTTTGGTGAAAGTTTAGTCCTACTTTCATTTAAAATTCTTCCACTTACACTAAATGTTTGTTCGGATGAGACGGTTAAAACAAGAACAGTGAAAACATCTAAGGCAAGTCTTGATAATACCGGAAAAATACATTTTCTGGCTCTCCAATAGTCTAAGAGATCAATGTTGGCTCTCTGTTGTGGATCTACTGGTAACATTTCAGGGGTTGCCAAATATTGTTGAAGCTCATTACTCTGCGACTGTATGGAAGACAGTACATTAGTTGTTGTTGTTGGTGGAGCTTCTGAAGAGGAGGCTGTGCTTTGGATTCGGGTCCTCTTCGGCCTATTCAGTGCACCCCAAGAGTAGAAGTCTTCATTTGTTTCTTCTGATGCAGCTTCCCTGGATGTTTTTGCCTCTTTGTGGGTTCCCATACCTGTTTTCATATTGGAAATATACTTCGAAAAGTCTATTTTTTACCTCTCCATTTGATTGGCATATACTTTGGTTTGTAAATTTCACATAATTGTCAAAACCATTTTCTAAACCTAATATTTAATTCTAGGATCAAATATAGCACCTAACAATAAAGAAAATGAATGGGTTCCCAATATTTAAAAAAAAAAATTCCATTGCCTTTATTGGTGCATTTAAATTTCTTGTCTTGTTTTTTATAAATGATTCGGAAATTTTTATAATTGTATGTATTACCAATGGACTAGTAGGATAATACACACCAGAAAGTTGTAAGTGGATTGGTAAAATTTTTTAAGAAAATAATGAAATACTTAGTCTATTTGCCAATCATTTTCTACCAAATAATGATGACCTCTATTATTTGTTACAAAATAACATTATATTAGCATAAGGAACATAAATCAAACATTAAATAAGTACTATTCCATCTAACAGACATGTCAATGCAAAATTCTAGGAGACATATTTAATTTTATACAAGCGTCTTGAAATTCAGCATTTCTTTTTATTACTACTAGTAATCCAAGCTAAACATCTCTAATTCTATTAATATTTTCTTTAATTGTTTTCACAACTTTTCACAATTAAATTAATAACATGACATGCACAACGTTGATGAAAAAACTTCAAATTGTTATATAAAGGATAATTACTTTGAAAATAATCTATAGCTTTACTATTAGAACTTGCATTATCTAAAGTTCAACTTATCACTTTACTAACAATATTATAATCTTCTAAAACTTCAACAATTTATTATAAATTTGTTCACCACTATGATCAACATCCATTAATCTAAATCAATTTTGGAGTGGTAGAGCTAAACAGATTATATTTGTGTGATTAGTCATTATTTTGATAATGAATGTAATTAAATAATCCTAATAAAGATTTATTTAATTGACATTCATTATCAAAATAATACTAATCACACAAATATAATCTTGTTAGCTCTACCACTCCAAATATCGGCAGTTAGAGCCACACTAACATGACAAGTATTATTTTATTTTTTAATTCTAATTTCATTTTTCTAAACATTTTTATTAAACCATTTTAGTTGCAGTTTGAGAATAACTTTTAAATCCTGGAAAAAATGAATTTTGAACAAATCTTTCAAAATATTTATCTTCAGCCATATTAATAGGTTGATCAGTTGCAGCAATATATAAAGCTAACTGTTCCCTATATACATCAGAATTATAAAGACAAATAGTACTCATATTAGTTATTTGAGTTTGATTGCTTTCTCTATTTCCATGTTGATTAATATGTTTATTAGCATGCCTTTTTAAAGTACTAGTATCATTACCTGAATCAGCTTTATAAATATTTTCACAGTATTTGCATCTCGCTTTCTTGACTTGAACGCCATTTTCTATCCCGTAAAACTTGTCAAAATGCGCCCAAACATCTGATGTATGTCTATCTTCGGTTTCGACGGCAGTTGATGATCTCGCCTTAGCTTGAGATGAAGTTGAACGAGCACAACGATTACGAGGACGACTTCTAGAACAACCGGGAGCTGTTGGAATCGGGGGCATATTTTGAGGTGTACCGGATTCTGAGAATGGGAAAGCTGGACTATTTGAATCTTCTCTTGCATTTATGTTAGTGAAATCAGTGGGGCTAGGACTAGCATAATAGTTTCCTTCATCATTGTAATTGATGGGAGAGAAATATATATCCATTGTAGTTGAAAAAAAAATTGATGTAGAAGAAATAAAAATTAAAGAAAGAGAATTGGAATTTGGAAATTGGAAATTGGAATTTGGAAAATTGGAAATATGAATTAAAAATTGCAAAAACTAATAAAAATTAAAATACGAGCAAATTGATAACAAAGAAATTAAGAGAATAAATGAATAATTGAAAGATTAGAGACTAGAGAATATGAGAGAATGAGAGAATTTGAGTTTTGAGAAAAATGTGAGAGTTTATGGCCAATTTATAGAAAAAAATGGGAAAGAAAAATGATGAAAAAGACCCCCCAAACGGCTATAAAACGGCTATATTTCAAGGGTAAATGGGTAATTTGAAAAAATAAATTAAATTTATTTATTTTTTATTTTTTTTCGGCCAACCCGTGGGTCAACCCAGTGGGTTGACCATTATTTTATAACAGCCAACCCGCTGGGTTGACAACAGCCAATCCGGCGGGTTGGTGGTCCCTTCTTAGAAGGGACAAAACAGGAACCCGCTGGGTTTGCGAGTTGCCATTTTGCAACCCGGCTCGCCCAGGGGTTGCTGCCGGGTTGGGTTCAACCTGGACCGCCATATTGGCAGTTCGGGTTCAACCCTCTTCATTATGGGC